TGTGCTCTTTCTTTTTTATGAGCTAATCTTTTAGCAAGCATTGTTACTTTTATTTTGATTGCACTGAATTGTTCTTCTTAAGTGAATTAGAAATTATATACCAAGTGGGGTGCTTGTTGGAGGAAAGGGCTTTATTCACTTTAGAAATAAACATTTTTAATTAAAAGAACATTGTTGAGTACTGATTACTACCAAGTGGGCCAGCTCAGAAGACATGTTAAAAGAATGACAAGGTACTTTCTGATGAAGGATATAACTTCATCTAATAAAGCTTGTTGATGCCCCCCCCCTTAAGTAATACATCCAGCTGGCTATGCTATGACACAAAGCTGGAATGTGCAAATAATGAGTTACAAGTAACAGTTATTTTAAATTATTTACCCTCCCCCCTTCTTTTTTGGTTTTGTGGTTTTGGTTGGAATGAAGTTCTGATTCAAAAGTTACAAAATATAGTTGGTCCTCTGTATCCATGGATTCCTTATCCACATATTCAAGCAATCAAGGCTTGAAAATATTCAACCAAGTATATGTTCCAGATAGGAAAGCTTGATTTTGCTCTTTATATAAAGTACACCATGTCACTACACCATGGTATTTAATGGGACTTGAACATCCACTGATTTTGGTATCCATGGAGGGTCTTGGTACAAACCCCAGCCGATACCAAAGGCTCACTCACTGTACATAGAAACTACATTATAGATTTTTTTTGGTGGATGTGCAACAAAGTATTTTTCTAGTTACCTTTTCATTCCCTTGTAGCTTCCAAACCAGAGGTAGGCAACCTAAGGCCCGGGGGCCAGATGTGCCCCCCCGAGTGCTTTGGACCGGCCCCAAGCCGGTCCTGCCGCCACAGCCGCCCCCCGCAATGATATTGATTATTGTTGTTATTACTTGTTCTTGGGGTTTTCTTGGCAAAATCTCCACAGGGGTTTTGCCATGGCTTTTCTAGGGCTGAGAGTGTGTGCATGCATATTTTTGAATTTTTTAAAAAAATTTATTTATTTATTTATTTATTTATTTATTTATTTATGGTGCTTTGCCCCCCCCCCCCAATTGTCTGAGGGACAGCAACCAAGCCCCCAGGCTCAAAAAGGTTGCCTACCCCTGCTCCAAACGATGTCCTCCAGGTTTTTGGACTTCAGCTTCCAGACACCCCAGCCAGCTTGTCCAATGGTTAGGAATTCTGGGAGCTGAAGTCCAAAAGACCTGGAGGACCAAAGTTTGGGAAGGAGTGCTTTAAAGGGTATTTTCAGGATTTTAGGGGACATTTTGATCAGACTTCTTCAAGCTTTATATAACATTTTTCATCAATATGAAATTCCTTAAATTATGAAAAAATAATAAAAGGTAATAAGCAATGTAGGAAGTTACCATAAAATGGCAACATTAGTGGCAACCACTCTTTTGCAGCAGAAGGAGTCTTTGCAATGGCTTGCTTTCCCTTAAAAGGCTTGTTTAAAGTAAAAAGCAACTTCCCAAGATCTGTAGAAAGCATCACTGGGCACACAAACTTCCAACCCCCAGGTCCCTGGTTATTTCTTCCTATTCACTTCCCCTCTTACCATTTGGAGGAGAATAAGGGAGAGGGCAAATATATATGCTTCCATTCACCCTGTACCAACACATGTTACAACAGGGATGGGAATCATGCATAGGCTGAAGGTAATCTCAAGGCTGTTTCACCCCTTCCCCCATGCTTATGAGTCATTCCAAGACCTCTGAACCTCCAACAATCCCAATTCTTCTTTTGTCCAGAAATGTGAATTTCTGGTCCTGAAAGCCCGAGGACAATAATTCTCCTTTAGAGCAAAGTATGCTCCCCTATACATTATTCTAGGAAAACATCAACCAACCTCCCCCCCCAAAAAAACCCCCAACACCTGGAAGTTTCCCCCCCATGTCTTTGTAGATGGGTTGGTGCAGCGTCTGTAGATCCTGGAGCTGGGGAAATACCCTCTCAGTAGCTTGCTCCTTGACACTCAGCATCAAATAGTGCTTATCATCCTACCACTTGAAAAAGACTCTTATCTCATCATTCTGGTGGAAGTAAATCTGCCTTTCAGTTTTCTATATTTGAGTTAAAAAAAAAACCTCTTTAAAAACACACCTCAAGGCTAGAATTAAGCTGTACTCTACATGGCAGGGGAGAGGCAATTTCATGTTCATAAAACACTGATTCTGTTTCCCATCACAGAAATGTTGGTGGCTTGGCAGTTATATGGGAATACTGGATGAGAGCTTCCTTTTTAATGCCATGTTATGAAGGTGTCTAGCAGACAGAAGGACACTGACGTATAGAAAGTAACTTTTCACTGAACTAGCTTTAGGAACAGACTTTTACAATGTACTTTCCAAGTTTACATCTTTAATGAGATTGTAGACTTAAAAGCACAGAACAAATCCCCAAGTGAAAACACAAATACATTCCATGACACAATTTATTGTGGACAAATTATAAATTCTTGATGTAGTTTTGAATTTACTAGATGTTTTAAGTGCATAAGGAGAAACAGACAAACACTGCCTGGTAGACTAAGGTCAAACTCTGGTTTAATGCTGGCAGAATATAAAGTCATACTGGCATACTTATGTGAATAACTCAGAAGCAGTGATGATTTCCAATGGTCATGCCAGTTATTCTGATTTGGGGACAGTGTCTCTGTGCCCACATGCTTTGCCCTTTAAGCCAGGTTTGTTGATCTACAAAGTGAAGAACTGCTTGTGTAAGGGGATACTAGATTCCTCCTTACACCAATGTGTAAAAAGTAT